TCCATTCAGCTAACATTTACTAAGTCTTTCTCCATGCCAGACACTTGGCCATTTCCTAAGGGACAGAATGGAATCAGGTGCTCTTCCTGTTTACAGGGACCCTAGAGACCAGTCCGGGAGACAAGTGGAAGCAAGATGCTGTGATAGCAGCAGGTGTGGCATGATCGGAAAGGCAAGGTGTCGCCCATTGTACCCAGATGAGGGTGCACAGAGAGGTTGCAACTCTCAACTTGGTGCTTCTGAAACTTCATACGTATTTCAGTCACCTGGCGATCATGCTAAAATGCAGGTGGTGACTAGGAAGATTGAGGGTGGAACTGCAGATGAGTAGCCAGGATTTAGAAGAGAAGCATGAGCTGACTTCGCATTCACTGGGCGGAAATAGGGGACTGGATGGCAAGGAGGCCTTCTCGGTCACGAGGATGAGGGCATCAGCCAGAGAATGGAGTGAAGCAGCCTGGAGAGAAGCAACTGTGTCTCGGGGCATCGAGACACAGTTGGGGACATGGCGTAAGGGAGAAGTTGGCAGGAATCAGCTCTAGGACTGTCGTTTTATGCATTTAAAATTAAATGTTAATTAAGAATCTTGATAGTGGCTCACGCCTGTAATCCTAGCACTCTGGGAGGCTGAGGCGGGAGGATCATTCAAGGTCAGGAGTTCAAAAGCAGCCTGAGCAAGAGCGAGACCCCGTCCTTACTAAAAAATAGAAAGAAATTAATTGGCCAACTAAAAAAATATACAGAAAAATTTAGCCGGAATGGGCATTTATTGAAACCTTAAAATCTGTACCCCCATAATATGCCGAAATAAAAAAAAAAAGAAGAAAAGAAAAAAATAAATAAAAATACACACACACACATAAAAAATTAGCCCAGCATGATGGGGGATGCCTGTAGTCCCAGTTACTCGGGAGACTGAGGCAGGAGGATTGCTTGAGTCCACAAGTTTGAGGTTGCTGTGTGCTAGCCATGGCACTCTAGTCTGGGCAACAGAGTGAGACTCTGTCTCAAAAAAAAAAAAAAAAAAATTAAGAGGCTTGAAAATAAGATCACCATCCTGTAGATGATGGGGAATACCAAATTTTAGATGTGGTTCCGACCTTAATTTTCATGTTCAGGAAACCGACGTGATGCAGTTGGAAGGGCTGGAAGGACAGGACTTCTGGAGGCTAATACAGTTGTTCAGGCAAGATACAGGGGCGTAAATAAGGATTAGTAGGACTTGGATTGAGAGGAAGAAGAACTCTTTGTAAAGAAATAACGTGCCCAGTGAAGTTGAATAGCACATGGTATGCCTTGGTGTGGGAAAACTTAGGATGTTCGGGGCAGAGTGTACATTGATACCAAAAGGCAGTACAGGCCTAGGGCTGGAGCTAGGGGGCGGAGAGCCTTAGTGTGGTGATTTCAAATGCCAGACCTAAGGAGCTTTAACTCTTTTTTATATATATATATGTTTTTTGAAAGACAGGGTCTTGCTGTCACCCAAGCTAGAGTGCAGTGGCCCGATCATAGCTCACCGTAACCTCGAACTCCTGGGCCCAAATTATCCTCCCACCTTAGGCCTCTGAGTAGGTGGGACTACGAGCATGTACCACCACACGTGGCTGATTTTTAAAAACTTTTTGTAAAAGTGAGGTCTCCGAGGCTGGTCTCGAACTCCTGCCCCCAAGCAATCTTCCAGCCTCAGCCTCCCAAAGTACTGGGATTACTGGCGTGAGCCACCATGCCTAGTCCCTTTTTCTCTATTACGATGAAATTTTTATAAGTGAAATCGCTGGGACAAACCCATACGAGCATTGCTTTCCAGCAACATCACTCGACTCACTATTGTGTCCGTCATCGTTTGTGACAATATTATTTTCATCAAAAGGCTTTTCTCAATTCTTGATATTCTTTAATTATGTGACACTAGTAGCATCATTGAGGGACCTGATGCTAGATTATATGAGGATATGGTAAGAAAAGATGATTGCAGTATTTTGAGGCTGGGAAAAAGAAAAGACATGGAGCTACACTTAGCATCAGTAGGTAGAAGGGCAGCAGTCCAAGTCGAAACACTCAAGAAGGAACTTAAAACTTGAGTGGCATTGGAATTCAGAAGGAAGAAGCAGCCACAAGTGAGAATGTGGGATTCATCTGTGTGGTTAAAGTAAATAAAATAGCCTCTCCAAGAGAATGAATGTGAGGAATTGTGAGCCAAAGGATTGGAACTTGGCAAATGCCCCCTGTTTGCCAGGGTGGCAGGTGTGAGCATGAGGATTGTGTGGGTCAGAGGATAGGAGGGAAGCGTGTATAATTCACTGATCAGTGGAAACATTTTTGCTGCAAGAAAGAATTAGAAATCTAAAGACTATTTAAGTTTGGCAAAATAAACTGTGGGGGAGTAAAGAGGAAAAGATGAGATGAAAAAAGAACATTAATATAGCACCACCTGGTGGTGGAATTAGGCAATTTTCAAATGAAAATTTTTTTTTATCGAATTGAATGTTTCTTCCTGATTTGGTGGTTTTGACATTTTTCACCTATTTATTTTTTATATGGTAGCCTAATTTTGTATATAGACTGATTTTTTTAAATTATTTTTGATCAACAGTGTGTGGGGAGTCATATAAATTTGTTGATTGATTGCAGCTTTGCTTCGAGCTTCTTCCTCACATGATTTTCCTGATCTCTCTTCTCACTTGAGAGATTTGTGAGTTAATCATTTTAGGTTACAGGGCTACATCCACACGTCTCATATCCTAATTGCCTCCTCGTCTCTGCTCTTTTGCCTCTCAATTATCAAAAATAAACAAGTCTGTGTGAAGCTTTTGTCTTTCATCTGTAGTTAAATGATTCTGAATATTAATTTTGCATTTTGACACCAGTGTTAGTGCAAAAGTTTGGGTTCACAAGCTTAAAGAAAGTGCCAGCTTTCAAGATGAATAGCAATGGAAACTTTTTTTTTTTTTTTTTTAACCCCCAAGGAAAACCTGCATCCTTGAAAACTGCACAACAGCCGTCCTGGGTGAATTTACCTAGACCACTTCCTAAATCCAAAGCCTCTTTGAAAAGTCCTGCTCTGCGGAGGACAGGAAGCACCCCCTCAATTGGCAGCACCCACAGCGACCTGAGCGCTTACAGCAATACTTGTAAGTCGGCTTTATGTCAAGCTCTGGGGGTTGTTGAAACAGCAGGTAGAAGAAAAACTAATGCTGTACAAAGAATGAGTGGAATTTTTCTTCTGCGAATTTGGGAAAATATATGCATACTGCTTCCTTGGAATTGCTCTGAAAATTGGACAGGAAAAACAAGTTCTCTGAAAAACATTATCTTTTGATGAGGGTGCTGCGAAACACTAAAATAATCATGTGTCAAAGGTGTATTTTTGCACGAAGGATTCTAAAGTGCACCGTTTGAAGTAATGGTGTTTTGGGGCTTGTTTAAGGAAAGAATAGCAACCTAGGAGATACGTTACCCAACTAGAATCAGACAAAAAGATGACTTCAGTTTCATTTACTTGATAAAAGACTATCTCTTACAGATATATGTTTGTAATGTTGCACTTTGGATGCTAGATTCAGCGAAAAATGACTAATATATTATAACTTCAAGCTGATTTCTAAAAACTTTAAACTCAGTAGAATTTTTTTTTTTTTTTTGAGACAGACCCTCACTTCTGTTGCCCGGGCTAGAGTGCCGTGGCATCAGCTTAGCTCACAGCAACCTCAAACTCCTGGGCTTAAGCAATCCTCCTGCCTCAGCCTCCCGAGTAGCTGGGACTATAGGCATGCGCCACCATGCCTGGCTAATTTTTTTATATATATATTTTTTTAGTTAGCCAATTTCTTTCTATTCATAGTAGAGATGGGGCCTCGCTCTTGCTCAGGCTGGTCTCGAACTCCTGACCTTGAGCAGTCCACCCACCTTGGCCTCCCAGAGTGCTAGGATTACAGTGTGAGCCACCGTGCCCGGCCTCAGTGGAATATTTTTTTAAAGGTTTCAGTTAATGTGAATTCTGTTTTGTAGGTATAATAAAATGAGTTAACTGAGCTACCCATTTCATTCAAAAGCTGTATTTGGTCTTAGTACTTATATTCTCATTTCTTTCCTGTATTTCCCCACAAAATAATCCACAAATCCATGAATTCAAGTAATTTTGGAGCACCTGCTGGGCACAGACACCATGCTAAGTGCAGTGAGGGACCAGGACAGGAAGGAAATGGTCCTTACTCTAGAAAGGGGGGGGGGGGAGGAGAAAGGAGATATTCACATGGATGATACCAGATCAAACAAGATACAAGGGTGTGGAGGGTAGCAGAGAATTGATCTCTCTGCTTCAAGGACAGACCAATTTCTTCTTTTTGGTGAGGGGGGATGGGGACCAAGTGGAATAATGGTCACTGGACCCTCTGGAGTAGTAGTATAGGGTCACCAAACCTTATTGCATTTTTTTTTCTTCTCTTAAATAACTTCTCTTGATTTTATATATGAAGTGATTAAAGCTCAGAGATGTTGTCACTGGTTCCAAAGTCACACAGCATGCATGTGACAGAATTGGGAATGTGTGCGTGGAGGGGGATAAGGCTTTGAATTCATGACTGAATTAGTGAGTGCGTCTCCAAAGGGTCCCTTAGCAGCGGTCGCTGGTCTCCTGTGGCAGTTAGTGGCTGCATGCTGGTACTTCAGGAGTTGTTGAAAAACTAAACAGGGTTGCTGTCTGCTTATTGTTTGGATTTTGAAGTTGTGGCACGAAAGCAGGAGGGGTTTGCATGCGACAGATTTCTCTGTGAATTTGAAAGAGAAATTCACACTTGCGTTATTTTAAGATCATTCCACCCTGGCGCCCTCCATTATGCAACTCGATTTTGAAAAACAAACAGCCAAAACAGAGTCCCAACGTGCTCTGGAAGGACTGCCATAGCGATGGCATTTGTGTCACTCAAGGCAGACACTCTGTAAGTGCCACAGATGCACATTTTCCTTCGACAGCCATGTCGACTTGGCCAGCGATTCAGGACCGTGTCTGACACTCCTAAGGAGGTTGTAAAATGCTTTTGTCCATTCCTTTTTGTCTTTCAACAAAAGGGTTTAGCATACACCCACAGAGCCCGTCTAGTGGCGAGATGTCCCCGTTGCAGATGAAGCATTCAAATCAATGAGTCCCTTTCTTTGTTTGATTTGCTAGCTGGTTTAATCTGTTTTCTGTAGTGCCTTGGAGCTTCCAGATTTTTTTCTCCCCCCTCCATTCTAATTCACTATGAGCAAGCATGAGGGATATGAGTGTGAACATGGCTGCAGTTTTTCCTGCCTGAGCTGGCTCTGATCCTTTTAAATGACTATACCAGGAGGATTTCGCAGTTGCACAGAAACTGATATTTCTTCGAAAATCTTTATCAATTCTACACTCACCCCACCGGCTGGTTCAGAGAGCCACTATGATGCTACCTTATTGACACTGCTTGTCGTGGGATCCTACAGCCTGTGTATAATTCCTTTGTTAGCCACGTTTACTGGGAAAAAAAGTAGGTCGTCGATTTCTGGTTTGATTCTTTTCTTTGTAAAGCATGCTTAAATTCTTACTCAATAAATTGCTTTAGGATCTACTGATTGCTATTTTTTTTTTTTTTTTTTTTTTGTAACTTGTAATTTGTGTTAGGTGTATTTCTTGGGCATATTTATGTGTGTTTAACATGTGACTGCTTCTGTATATTTTATGTTTTGAGACATTTAAAATTCAGCAGCATTGTCAACGTTCTTAGCACATGAAATCATCCTTTTATCAAAGACTATTTGATGGTTTAATTTCTGATTTAATAACTGTAGCTTTTGTGTGTGTAGCTTTTAGTTGTGTGAGTGTAGAAAGATGTTTTTCTCGAATTAAAATTGAAGCATCACATCTTTTGTTTTCCTCAATTATAAACAAAATATTAAAAATATACTTTTAAAGACTACCTGGAATGTGAAAAAAATCATTTTGAGGTGAATTTTTCTGTTTCTGATAACAAAATACCATGTTAGGAAATAACTCAATCTTTTGATCAGTCAGTGTTTTCATTCATAATGCCTTAAGCATTTTGAACCCTTTTAAGGAATTTTGCTTTCTTGCTTTGTCTGCTGGTTCTTTGTGACATTGTTAGTGGCATCATTTAAGAACTTCCTGACAGCAAGTGGTTATAAAATTAGCATCTGGTTCTCGTACTTTTGGATCCTATAGAATAACATTGCAATTTGAAAATGCCAGAATCAAGTATATAAGGCAATAAATTTTTCTTAGCTAGGAGTTTTAGCAGATTCTTTGTGTGTGTGCTTTTAAGCATAAAAAATTTCGAAGTTACGATACTGATTTCCTTTGGATACTAGTGTAAAACATTCATTGCATGGTAGTTTCTTTACCAAATGTGCTGTTGTATAGAAGATAAGCTCTTGTAGACTCAGATACCTGACATCCAGTTTTTAAAATCGTTAGAGTATTGGATAAACATAAACGTTACATTCATTGGCAGTTCCCCAATAGAATGGAAGCTTTGAGGATTATTATGCAATTCAGAGGTCGTCTCAGGAGAGTGTTTGATTTTGCCACGTTAGCAGGAATATGAAGTCAAAAGACTTCGGTCACCTTCCACTTTGGCCACAAAAACATGTTTATTTTTGGAGACAGATGGCGAGGGAAATGTAAGAGATGCAAACCAAAGCTGTTTGCACTCGCTGCGAAATAGAAGAACAGAGGGAGACTAAAGAAAGAAACAGAGCATTCTTTTCCTCCACCTTTTGTGGCCAGCCCTGGCCAAGAAAGTGTAATGCATTAAAAAGGTCACTCCACTCAGGACTCATCCTGGTTTTCTACTAGCTTGTGTGAAGTCAATGTTTCTTGCTCTTAGCCTCAGTCTTGTTATCTGATCGGTGAGGGGGGAGGACTAGATGGTCTTCAAAATCATTGCAGCAACGACTGGCTCTGACTTTTTTTTTTTTTTCCTTCACTGTAATAGGATGGTGCCTATCATTGGAAGGGAGGGTGTTTTGAGTTGTTCAAGCAATTAACCTGATAGAAGGATGAATCTTACTCTGTTATTTTTTGGTTTCTCAGAGCAGGAATGGCAAGTGAGTATTGTCTCACCTGCCAACACTGGTTAGTTGACAAGCATCACCTGCAGTACAGTGTTAACCCGTTCTCAGGCTGCTTCCAGGTTCAGAGGGAAAGATTTCATTTGACTAGTGATGAGTTGATGAGGGGATGGGTGAGGCGGAGAAGAGAGACAGGCAGTGTATACTGCTGGCTCTACATTACAAAACGTGTTAGTGCTTCCATACTTCTGAATGGCCTATCTAATAAGAAATATACTCTATCCTGACCACTATTAGTTTTGTTCTCATCTTTCTCTTTTAATGTTTCGCAGGTATATGTGAGACATTCTTATTATTACAGAGTTGAGCGCTTCTGCTTTTGAAATTTGAAAGCTTAGACAGACGTCGGTAGCTCTTTGGTTTTAAGCCAGGTGGCGGACAGTCTGGCACAGTGAGGAGTTGTTAAACTGATTCACAAAGAAACTTGGAAGCGAACAGAATGTTGGCTCTGTGTGTATATACATGATGTAATAAACAAAAAAATAATTTTAACTAGACGCTAGAACGTATGACATGTTTGCAAATACAAGCGTGGAACAATGAGAGTAGCCTTTTCTAATAGGAAAATCATTTCTGTTTCTGCTTGGACTTTGCTAGAATATCTCTTTTTGTTCCTTTTAGACTCAAATCATCTCTCTTTTATTTCACTTGAACCACATTTTGGCCATGGGAAATGAAAGAAGGATGCCAGAGAATCTATTCTGCATAATTGTCATCTCTGGACAGCTAGGTCCAGAGATGACAACATAACAGGGACAGTTTTAAACCACATTAGTTATTAAGCTGGCTGAGACCTAGGTGACCACATGTGGAACTGTCCATCTTGACTCTACAGACCAGTTGTCACTCAGTGGTCATGTCACTGAGTGGTCATGCAGCACTGTGTTTAGGATGATTCTAGTGATGTAGCTGGCCTCAATGGGACTGGGTACCACAGTCAGTTAGTGACACATACATACTGTCTATTTCATACCCGACATTCAGATCCACTCCACAACATAGGTGAGGTGACACCAGGGCCAAGATAAGACCAGAACTTGGATATTGTAGATGCCATTCCATTATGGAAAGTATTACTCATCTTAGTACGTTGGAACTGTTGCCACTGGGACTTCATCATTTGGCCATAACTCTGATGGGGGAGGATTTGGTCATCATCAGGATGCCAACCATTTGCCATGATAGGAACTGAAACAGAGGGCGAGAGAAATACTTTAAGGGTCGTGCTCATGGTGATGTGCATCCTTCAAGTCAGAGTTTACTAGAATGCCCTGGGCTGGCTCGAGTAGTGTGTTTCAGGAATTGACAGATACTTGCTGGTCATAAAAGTATGTTCAGCTCAGCACAGTTTGTGCCTAGTGTTAATGAACATGGAAAACATGTATCATAGATGATCATAGAGTGCAGGGATATATATCATGTATATATATATTTCTCACGTGAATATGTAAAATAGAAATGTGTTTTTTATTTGTTTGTTTTTTTTTTTTTAAATGGGCGTCTTTGTTGCCCAGGCTAGAGTGAGTGCGTGGGTCAGCCTAGCTCACAGCAACTTCAAACTCCTGGGCTCAAACGATCTCCTGCCTCAGCTCCCGAGTAGCTGGGACTACAGGCATGCGCCACCATGCCCGGCTAATTTTTTCTCTATATATTAGTTGGGCAATTAATTTCTTTCTATTTATAGTAGAGACGGGGTCTCACTCTTGCTCAGGCTGGTTTCGAACTCCTGACCTCAAGCAATCCACCCGCCTGGGCCTCCCAGATTGCTAGGATTACAGGCGCGAGCCACCGCGCCCAGCCAGAAATGATTTTTATGTTTAAAAATACTTGTGTGTTTGTACCTGAGTCAAATACGGACATTTTCTTTGCAATGTGGATCTTTGAGTCCGTATTGCGTGTTAGGAAGTTGATGTTGGGTCTGGTGCTGAATCTAGTGTTGTATTATAAGTCTGAAGAGTGGCAGTGAGACAGTTGGTTTCCAGCATGGCACCTCCTGTTCTTTTCACTGAATTCTTTGTAAATTGGAGGGCTGTGTGTCTAAAGCTGTGTGTTTAAAGAAAAGTGTGAATTTAGATTCATATGACTTTATGTTAGTTTGTTAATTGAACTCAACCTAATTTTTCAATATATGAGTAAGTGACTTATTTACTGTCGGACATAATAAATTGCTTCAAGAAAAGTAAGATTGCGATAATACATGGCTAAGACTTTGTAATAATATTTGCTTCCTTTATTGGATTTGATTCAGCAAAAGCTGAAATGCTAGTTGAAACTGAATAGTCATTTTATATGAAAATCTAAAGAATACGCCTATGAAATTTGGGTTCTGTTATTTTAAGACCATAAAGTCATTTCCCATCCATTCTTTAAAAAGTTATGTTGAGTTTTACAGTAATATCTTTGGTATTGTCATTCCCGCTAGCTTCCTTTGGAAAAACCACGTCCCTTGGTTCTGGAAGGTGAGAATTAGGAAGAAGGAAGGGTAGGAAATTGACAGAAGCTTGTCAGCAGGCGGGAAGGCTTCTGTGTTGATTTGACCTATTATTATTAATGTTATCTGGGCACAAGGAGAATTAACAGATGGCTCATTGTACAGGGTCTGGATGTGGATCAGGGGAGAATAATAGCATGCCTTCATAAGGTTTGAATGTGACATGTATAGCTAGTGAAAAATTTCTAGCTATCTTCGTGTGTGTGTGTGTGTGTGTGTGTATATATATATATATATTTTTTTTTTTTTTTTGAGATAGTGTCTCACTCTGTTGCCTGGGTTAGAGTGCTGTGGCGTCAGCCTAGCTCACAGCAACCTCAAACTCCTGGGCTCAAGCGATCCTCCTGCCTCAGCCTTCCAGAGTAGCCAGGACTACAGGCATGCGCCACCGTGCCTGGCTAATTTTTTCTATATATTTTTAGTTGGCCAATTAATTTCTATTTTTAGTAGAGACGGGGTCTCACTCTTGCTCAGGCTGGTTTTGAACTCCTGACCTTCAGCGATCCGCCCGCCTCGGCCTCCCAGAGTGCTAGGATTACAGGCGTGAGCCACCATGCCCGGCCACGTTTATAACGTGTTTGTAAACAATGTAGGCATCTTACCCTTCGCTAAAAGTGTGAGGCGAGAAAAGGGTTCAGAGTTGGTAATAAGTAAATTTATGATTCTAAGTATTTAAAAATAGAATAATATTGGATGCTTAGACTTGGGTGTTGAAGATAATTTAGAAACAAACAGTTAAAATATCCGGCCTAAGGTGGTGGAGGGCAAATTTTCACACATACTATTAAAAGATGATTTTTATTATTTAAGTGAGATTCCCTTTTATGCTTTCACTTTGGGGCTAGGCACTTTGGTTCCAGGTGTCCAGCTCCTTGCGGCAGCAGCTGGGGATTTGAACTAGATCTCGTCCTTGCATCTACCGAGGAGTTTGTACATTATTGCTCTTGCACCATTAACCAGCTGGCTGCCTGCACTCTGCCTTATCCTCACGACAAAGGATGCTCTTCCTAGCTGCACCTTGGGCATATTTATTACCTAGAATGAATGGTCATATAATTTATTTCCCAACTTTTATCTGGCATGAAAGCTGAACCTGGACAAGATGCATAAACTTGGACTGTGCCAGGCACACGAGGATGTGTGGTCATCCTCATTCTAGGGTGTACTTTGCATCTCTACACGCACAAACTGCCTATCATGAACCTTGGTATTCCCAATACTCAGTAATGACTGGCATGTTCTACATGCTTAGTGAGCACTTGTTGATTCAAGGGGGATGGAATAAATGTGGGACATTGATACTGTTTTTATTTATAAACTACACGCCTCTGTTTTATTACAGCTGGTAATGCTGCTATCATCAAGTATGAGGAGAAACCTCCCAAGCCAGCATTTCAGAATGGTTCCTCAGGATCCTTTTATTTGAAGCCTTTGGTACCCAGAGCTCATGTGCACTTGCTAAAGACTCCTTCAAAAGGTATGGTCCTCATTGTGGATGGAAGAGGGAGGGCAAGAATTTGAAAGTCCTTGCCTTGTAGGAAGTTAAATTTTGACAGTTAAGTTTATGGTATATTTAATAATTATTTATAAAAAGTACATCGAGTAAGGAGATATATAATACATTTTTTTACAATGAGGAATTTGTTCTGAAAGTGGGTAGGTTCCATAGTTAAAACTTGTTCGCATATAAATCAGCAGGTTGGAGAAAGGTAGAAGGTGAAAATAACAAAACTTCTAGAGTTAAATTATTCTGAGATAGTGCTCTAGAGCAGGCGTCCTCAAACTATGGCCTGAGGGCCACATGTGGGCCACCTTGCACATTTATCCGGACCTCCAGGTGTTTTTGCCATCGCTGCCTGTCCTGCTTAGCAGCCAACTTGTCCCGGGCCCTCAGTGCGCACTCTCCAATGGTCTGAGGGACAGTGAACTGGCCCCCTGTTTAAAAAGTTTGAGGACCCCTGTTCTAGAGTAGTGAGATGGAAAGGAGTGGAAATGCATCAATTTACCTCCCAGAGTAGACGTTTCACGTTTATTACTATACTTGTGTCTTCATGTCTTTGGTCCAAGATCTTGTTCTTTTTTTCCTCTATTTTTTTTTTTAATGTTCTTTATCTCTCTTGCTTTTTTGTATCACTTATTTTGCAATGGCCATGGCTATCAAGAATAACTTTGAGGTTTACAAAAATATGCAGTATATACTTAACATGCAATGCTTTGATGCAGTTTATCACAGTGAGCTTGAAACACGTCAGAAGTTTTGTGCTTAGTGAATTGAAAGATTGATTAACCTGGAGAATAATTGTGATTGAGAAACTTGACCTATAAAATGAGATTCATAGTTAGAGAATTTGAGAAACACAGAAACATACCAAGAGTCTTCCTTAATTCCATCAACCACTATTTGCTGTTGCATTTCCTTTCAATTTTTTTTTCTTCTGCATATATATATATACATACTTGATTTTGTTTTTGTTTCAACAAAGCTTGGAGCATACACTCTTCTGTATCTTGCTTTTGAATAATTTAGTACTATGTCACAAGAGCTGCTTCATTTTTAATGGCTATATAACAGTCACTGTTGCCCAATTCTGTGGTTGTCCAGTTTAGTTTATAGTGGACAACTTCTGACTTTTATCGTCATACATAACAGTCAGATGAACATCTTTGAGCATCATTGTTCATTGCTGTACATTCTAAATACTTCCTTGGGATATCCCCGAAAGAGGAATTACTGGGTTAAACTGTGTGAACTTCTTTGAATTGTTAGTATATATTACTAAGTAACTTTCTTAAAAAGGTGTTACTCTCTCACAGTGGTACAAGAGTATCTGTTTGCTCTGCAGCTGCCTCAATATCTGTGTGTGTGTGTGTGTGTGTGTGTGTGTGTAGGGAAGGGGGAGGGAGTGGGGTGTGTATGTGCTAATTTGAGGCTAATTACCTGGTGAATGCACATCAATGCTATTTTCTTTGTATTGAATTGAAGAGACAATAGGCTTAAACACTATGGGTGGGATTCTCCAATGTTCCAGCAGGATCTCATTTGTCAAGGGTCTTAAACAAATTTGAGGCGTCAACTGAAATCTTGCTGGGTTAATATCAGGCTGCAAAACTGGTTGTCACTGATAATGATAAAAGTCCCATAATTCATACAATAGTAACTGAAAATGAACACTGTTGAACTTTGCTACTAAAGTAACTTTCAGAGAATGAGAACTTAGAGATGCCACTGATAACTTGATAGAACAGGGAACTCCAGTATTCTCAAACGCCTCACTATTGAATTTTTAAGTTGTTTGTGTCACAAAGGTTTTAACTTGCGTGGGAATCAGTGCATTCCATTTACAACAGCCACATATTTTAAGAGATTATCATCTGTGTAAAATTTCACAGATAAAATGATATAGCAGCTCTTTTAATGAGTAATCTACAGATGATTATGCCTAGAAATGACACCAAGTAGAGGGACTTGTAGTTTTCTCCTAGTGACTTATAGCACTGTGCCTATTCCCACTCCTGGTTGTATTTTATATTGCATCAGTTTGGAGAAAAAGCTTGGATTTTTCTTCATAGCTGAACATTAATTGGCAGTTTCAGAAGGCACACGCTAGTGGCTGTCTTTAACTCTGGAAACTGGCTCTGTCAGCAGTGGAGTAGCATCTTGTACTGAGAAAATATGTGACTTCAGGACTTGTTGAAATTTGAACCTCAGCTATTCTTGACCAAAAAAAAAAAAAAAAAAAAATACTGTGGCATGTCCTATTTAAACTGATCATATTCAATTTGTGACTGAATTCGTATCAATCTTAAACTATCATTTTGATGTTATTTGAAATATCATCTTAATACTTAAAACATAATGTTATAAAAGTTTATTATATATCAGTGGTATTTCCTGCCTGGAACCTAAAATGTAGAGATTAACTAATTGATTTTGAAAATCAAACAACTCTTATTTACAAAATGATTTGTTTTTGTGTGATATTTCAAATATATATGTATATTTACATGTTTTTTTTTTTTTTTATATCTTAGGTCCTTCGAGAAAAACTCTATTTACAGCTCTTAATGTGGGTGAGTGACCACTTTAAATATGGATGGAGAAAAATAATCTTCTTGAAAATTCATATTATTAAAAGTATTTAAATTGGTTTACAGTGATTTTTTTTTTTTTTTTTTTTTTTTTTTTTTACTGGCATGCTTATGAATAGAATTTCAGGTTTGAGGTGTAAATGTAACTGTTTATGACGAGCCAGTGGAGCATTAAAATATGGTGAGCAGGATCGGCCATCTGATGCTTAAAAGGACATTTTATTAATGACAGATAATTGTTTTTTTAAAGAAAATGATTTTGCTAATGTGGTCTAAATGAAATGGAAAATAAAGTTTTCCTAAGATAAATGCTATTTTTAAATTGGACAGTCTTTAATTGCTAAGCAGTCTCAAGATGTGGTTTTAGCACCTTTTAACAGTTCAGTGCCTTGTAATTTTTTGTTCTTTTTTATGCTTTTTTGGGATATAACATCTCTCCATAAGACAGCCTGCAGCCTCAAGTATCTGAACCACAAATTGAGGATCAAAAATACTGCGTTTCAAGAGGCAATAAAAGATTTCACAAATATTTAATATATTCACTACAATTCCTAGTGATATATATTACTTATTATATATATATATACACACACCCACACACATAATTACCTAGTAATATATATTACTTCATATATAGCTGGTCAGTTCCCCAGGGCACTGGCTGCATTCTCTTACTTCCTGGGCAGTGATAATACAGTTATGTGGCTTCTAAATCCATTGCTAATTAGAACAGCAAATCGGGAGAAGGGAAAGTACAGGCATATCTCGTTTTATTGTGCTTTGCAGATGTATTTTTTTTTTTTTTTTTTTACAAATCGAAGGTCTGTGGCAATAAGCAAAATCTGCGATAAGCATATCTATTGTGTCGTTTTCCAGCAGCATGTGCTCACTTTGTGTGTCCATGTGACATTTGGTAATTGTCAGAGTGTTTCATACTTCATCGTTATCATTATTGGTTATGGTGATCTATTATCAGCGATCTTTGTTGTTAATGTTATTTTGGGGTGCCATGGACGGTGAACCTCATCAATAAATGTTGTTTGTGTTCTGACTGTCCTGTGCCCCGTCTCTCAAGTCTTCCTGTTCCCCGAGACTCGGCTGTATTGACATTAGGCCAATTAATAATTCTGCAATGGCCTCTCAGTGTTCCAGTGAAAGCATGAGTTGCATATGTCTCTCACTTTAAACCAAAAGCTAGGAATGATTAAGCCTAGTGAGGAAGGCATGTTGAAAGCCAGTATAGACTGAAAGCTAGGCCCCTTGCACCAGTCAGCCAAGTTAGGAATGCCAAATTCTTGAAGGAAATGAAAAGTCCTATTCTAGTAAACACATGAATGATAAGAAAGCAAAACAGCCTTGCTGCTGCTGATAGGGAGGAAGTTTGAGTGGTCTGGATAGAAGATCAAACCAGCCACAGCATTCCCTTAAGCCAAAGCCATTCAGAGCAAGGCCCTAAGTCTGTTTAATTCTATGAAGACTGAGAGAGCTCGAGGAAGCCGCAGAGGAAAAGTTTGAAGCTGGCAAAAGTTGGTTCATGAGGTTTAAGGAAGGAAGCCAGAGTCATAACATAAAAGTCCACAGTGAAGCAGCGAGTTATCCAGAAGCTCCAGCTAAGATAATTTTGAGGAAGGTGGCTACACTAAACAACCATTCCTCAGTGCAGAGGAAACAGCCTTCTTTTGGAAGAGATAATATCTCAGACTTTCCTAGCCAGAGAAGTACAGTCGGTGCCTGGCTTCAAAGCTTGAGAGGATAGGCTGACTCTCTTAGTTTAACCTTTAACCAGTTGTTTTAAAGATATTCTGCCATCTCATAAAACAGGGAAGAAGAATAGAAAGAGAATGAACTTTTAAGGCATAGGATGTTGGTTTAAATCTCAGTCCTGCCATTTTCTATTTGTGTCCTGACCTTGGGCTATTTTCTAAGTGTTTCTCCAAGTCTCATATTTCTCATTTGGAAATACAGGAATACCTGAAGAATAATTCCCAGTATGAGAATAATTTTGACACTATAGAATTGTTGCGTAAAAGGTTCTCAAATAGTAGCTACTTCTGCTGCTAGGGATGATGATGATGATGATGATGATGATGGTGGTGATGATCCTTTATATTGTTTTTAGAATGCTAGTGGCATATTTTTGGAGTTCTTATCCAGGAAGTTGAGTTATTTTAAATCCCGAAAGCAAGCAGGGAAGGACCACCAAAACTCAAGAACCATCACCATGGGGTCTAGCTCTTATAATTTATTTAAGGGTTATAATGCTACCAGATTCTAGTCGAGATTGCCTCTAAATAAAAATTGGCTCACTGTTGACAAGGAAGATGCCACACATGCCACAGCGCTATTATTACCTTGGTTCTACGGCACATGAAAGTTGTTTGGGATACCAGAGGCATTGGAGTTGGGTTTATGCAGTTCCCAGATTGTTTTTCGCAAGATCATCACTCTCAGATGCTGTGGTGTCTGCCTTGGAAAGTGTAAAATGCTCTGCTCTTTCTGTACCAATTTAGTAAAGATGGCACAGGAGAAATAGGGTGGCTCTCTCTGTCTCTTTTCCAAGTGCCAGGAAATGGCTGTGATGAGGGGGTTGTGATGTCGCCCGCATTTCCTCCAGTGACAGGAGAGAGGAGGCCGTCGTTCATTGTTGCTTTTCCTGTCATACTTAAAAAGCAGATGCTGTTGTGACATGGGATAAATTTTCAAAATGGTGGTGGTGGGGGCGATTGGATCACTTAGTAAATCTTGTTGGGACAATGGCCGCCTATTTAGCAGGAGCCAGATCTCTTTCTCAAGTACCGCATACAAATGTGTTGCAGATAAATTAGTTTTAAACACAAAAATTGAAATAATTAAAGCCCTAAGAATACAGACTTAGAGAGAAGGTCTTTCCAGGAGCACTGGCATAATAGAAGAGATCAATAATTAAGGCAACAAAGCTGTAAGCTTCCCCTTTGTCAGTAACGTTGTAAACGGTATTAATAAGCAAAGAACAAACTAGGACAACAACTTCTTATAGAGCTCCTTCAAATTGGCAAGATAAAGACAACTGTACGATAGAAGTTAAAAGGACATGAAACCCCAGAAATCTACGGATTCGATGCTATCCCTACCAAAAGCCCAATGTTATTTTTTACAGAAATACAAAAAACAATCCTAACATTTATATGGGACCACAAAAGACCCTGAATAGCCAAAATAATCTTGGGAAAGCACAAAACTAGAAGCATCACAATTATTTCAAAATATATTACAAGGCTATAGTAAATGAACAGTATGATACTGGCACAGAGATGGACATATAGACCAATGGAATATAATAGCCCGGAAATAATTCCGTGCACATACAGTCAGCTTAACCTTTGACAAGGGTTCCAAGAATTCACCATAAGGAAGAGGATAGCCTCTTCACAGACGGTCCTGGGAGAACCAGATATCCAAAAGCAAAGGAATGAAATCAGACCCTTGACTCACACCACACACACAAATCAACTCAAGATGGATTAAAGACTTAAACATAAGACCTGAAACTGTAAACTTTCCAGGAGAAAACGTGGGGGAACACTTCATGACGTTGTTCTTGGTGATGATTTCTTGGTATGACACCAAAAGTACAGGCAACAAAATCAAAAATAGATAAGTAGGAGTATATCAAACTTAAAATCTCCTGCAGAGAAAACACAACCTGCAGAATGTGAGAAAATACTTGCAAATTGTACATCTCATAAGGACTGAAATCAGGATCTTGGGGAGATATTTGCACTCCGATGTTCATTGCAACCTTCACTATAGCCGGGAAGTGGGAACAACCTAAATGCCCATGAATAGATAATGAGGGGTATAGAAAATCCGATGTTTGCATAGCATGGAATATTATTCAGCCTTAAAAAAGAATGAGGTCCTGCTGTGTGCAACAACATGGGTAGACCGGGAGGACATTATGCTAAGTGAAGTAAGCTAGTCACAGGACAGACATGGAATGATTCCACTTACACGAGGTATCTCAAATAGTGAAAATCTTAGAATGAGAGAGTAGAGTAGCGGTTGCCGGGAATGGAGGGTAGGTGTCAGGAAATGGGAAGTTGTTGTTCAGTGGGATATAAAGTTCCAGTTGTGAAAGATGAAAAAGTTGGAGAGATGTGTTACCCAACATTATACCTCTAGTTAACAATATGGTAGTGTTCAGGTAAAATTTTATCGAGAGGGTTGAGGGTTCTTAACACAATTAAAAAAAAAAAAAAACTAAACACAAAAGAAAAATAAGTGGAAAGATAGAAAAAGAAAACAAAAAAAGAAACATGATATGGAGGGCTAAGAAACACATGAAAAAAATTACCAAATACTAACTAATATAAGGTACTATCAGTTCTTGCCTCATTTTCAATCGTCTCACCTGGAGTTGGAGAGTAACAAGCAGGTGCTTGTCCGTAGTGCGGATTGAGCATAAATGACAACACCAGTGGCGTGTGGCAGAGGCCTTCTACCTGGGAACTCCATTTGTCAGAATTGATTCTAGAAAAATCCTTATCAGATGTATAATTTGCCAGTGTTTTCCCGCATTCCGAGGGTTGTCTTTTCATGCTATTGTTTCCTTTTCTCTGAAGATTTACTTACTTATTGCTTTTCAGAATTGTCTAAAGTGGGGAAAAATTGGAAACATGCATATCTTATGGATGTTTAAATGATATTTATTGGACATTTTAATGACATTTTTGAGGTCATTAAAATAACAACATAGAGGGTTATTTAATCCCATAGAACGATTAAGTGTGACATTTTTAAGTTTAAGTTTATTAAGCTTAAATTAAGTTTAAAAAGTAGTTGTGAAGTAGTATGATATACAGGTAATTTAAATTTTTAAAAATTCTACAGTGAATATGGGGTTTTTTTAACAACAAACACTGTACATGAATTAAAAGCACTACTGCTTTTAAGTTAAGTTGTTTTTGTTGTTGTTTTGGTAGACCAAAGAAATAAAAGGCATT